TTCATCGCCAAACGTTCCTAATATCCTTTCATAACCAGATCTCTTCACCCCAATCCTTCCATTAAAATCTCCTAAATCTCCTAACATAATAATATTTTCATCAACACCAGCATTACCATGTCCCAAAACTGCTCTCGAATATTAGTGGGCTTAGACCTATCTGGGGCGTACACCCCAAGCACGAACAACTTTTTTAAGCCCACTTTCATACGTATCCACAGCAGCCTTGGGCTTACACATTCATACTCTTTGACAGATTGACCCATTCTTTCTGAAAGGATGACACCGACTCCCTGGCATGCCCGTTCGGTCTCGTCTACACCAGACCAGTAAGCGGTATATATGCCATCTGCAGTGACATGTCTTCCCCTTCGTTTCGTCTCATTTACACATAACATATCTATTCCTCTATCATTCATCATTTCGTATACTTCATCCATCTTATCATTCATTGCTCCACATACATTCAGCGTAGCCAGACGGGCCTCCGCAATCCACTTTTCGCCCCCCCGGGAGACAGGACGTGACGGGCGAACCTCGTCGCCGGTTTTTCTCCCGGAGATACTTCGCACCCCTGCCCCATTAAAGGGGCACCGGGAACTCGGGGCCATTTCCTTTAATTGTTGGCTCATGTTGCGAACTAAGGGGTGGTAGATTTTACGCCGAGTTATAAGAAAGGTATTCGCGTAAGAAACTATTAAATAGTAACTATGGTAATTTATATTAACTAAGTTACTAAATTTTAAAACGAAAAGCTGCATTTGCGAGGAGAGTTGACTGCTGTCCATCGTCTTCTTAAAATACTCCTTTAGTCGCCTTTTACAATAACCACGGGAATAGATGGGTTGTTCCATTCGTTAAGACTTTATTGATAAGTATTTTTTTTTGCGGTTTGTCAGTAAGTATATCGTTTGTTTCAATATCGTTAAATAATACCAGCAACCGGCTCTAGTTCGGCCCTGTAATGACAACACTACCTAGGTGTGCGTAATGGCTACGCAATGTTTAGCGAATGTTTGGTCTGCTACTCTATTACACTCGTGTGTCTGTGCTGCGCGGAAAAGGAAAGCTTCAGTTCATCAACAGTTTTTTAATGTAATTAACTGTTTACATGTTACATTAAAAACTTTATACCATTTATTTATTTAGTTGTTAGGGTGGATGCCCCTAATACCAGCCATGCCCCTAATTCCAGCCTTTTCGCCTTTTTACTTCGTAAATAAAGTTTCTAGTAGTCTTAACTACAAATACTGTCACCCATAGCTGTCACCTAAAAAATTCTTCGTAACTAGAGGAAAGTATATTTCAAATATTACGAGTACCTCACAGTGTTAATTTAAAAATCAAAACACGTACCTACGCAACGAAAATCGCTCATTTTCCAAATATTTTAACAAGTTGTGATCCTGGTAAAATTATGCTTACTTTACCTTATCTCATATTTAGGCATAGTAGAAATAGTATAGTATGGAGTTATTTTTGTATAAATTTACAAGTTTTTTATTTTCTTTTAGTTGAAATTAATGGGGCTGTAATTAGATATACGAAATGTATGCAGTGCATAATGTCAGCCGTCAGGCTGTTATTTGGTTTGACGTACCTAGTAAGAAATACATAATTTCAGCCACGTAATATAAATCAAGGCTGTCATAAACTGGAATGAACACCATTAATTAGATCGTAACTTATTTTATAGTTAAGGGAGTTATGATCAATTCGTCTATGTTTTAAAATTGGTTTTTGATTTTAAAGTTTAGCAAAAGATGTACTAGCTTTTCTATCTGACATTCGGTGTATATTATTACCTTATGTATTCAACTATTTTTTGAGAAAGAAGAAAAAACAAACAAAAAATATAACTTAATACTAATTATAACTTAGAACATAAATGAAAAACTTATGACAAGGAAAGTGGTTCAGGACCAGGCTTTGCGGCAGTCTATGGAGGATTGGTGGAGGATGTTCAGTAGTGGACTTGTGTAAGGTTGTAATGATGATGATGATTTGAAAACTTGGAGGATTAAATTATTAGAAATCGATGTGCTACATATTATTTTATCATAATTTGTTTTAATTTATTGAATTGCTTTAAATTAAAACACAGTAAGGTAAGTAGTAAAACATTAAAATAAAATTATGTTATCGTCTGCCTTAATACAAATTTCATGCTTGTGACATGCAGATTCAAAATTAAAAGTTGTTAGAATTTATTTCTGTGCCTCTAAATTACCTACAATAGGTAACTACCAAAAACACAAAAGGCATAATCCTATGCTATGCTGACATTAGGTACACAAAAGGACGGCATTCGGTTCAGGGTGGTTGGAATTTGAGTCATAACGCCTTTTTTGCTTAACGTCGTTTTTAATATGATTGTAAATAAATTTCCATTACATTTGTGGATAAATAACCTATCTATTAAAAAAGTTCAAGTTGAAATTGACACTAAAAGGCTGGTATAGGGGCATCCACCCTACCTTGTGCTTGTGATGTTCCTTAGTCTACCGAAAAGAGTAAAAAATAAAGTTTTAATAAAAAGTAAACACCGACTTCAAATAACTAAGAGGATTCTGCATTCGGGGGCTTTAATTCTTCGCATGGTATTTTTTAACTGTACTAAACGGTAAAGCAAATGAATCTAAACATCTCACATAACAAAAGTTTTAACAGTGGTAGAGTGGTAGAGCCATGCGGCAGCTTTTGCTGTCGCACGGATGTGACGGCTCGAACCGCGGTGGTACCACGACCTCACAGAATACCAGCGTGAAGTAGAGGTTTACCTCTGCGTTTCGCTTGGTGAGTGCAGGTGGCCGGAGGCCGTTTTTACTGGAAATGAGGCATTCCATCTTAGTCCTCACGGGTGACAACGCATCTACATTTTGATTTGTAATAGAGGATAGATGTAGATGTCTATGGGCCGCAGCAACCACTTACCATCAGGTGGACTGTGTGCTCGTTTGTCACCCTTATCCTATAAAAAAAAGTGTAAACATAACCTACATAATAAATAACTATGTCCTTAATAATAACGTCCAAATTAATGTCCTCCAGACCGAATTTCGAACACGGTGGCCAATCTTATCGAAAACTGGCCAGCTGCGCAAGACTGAATTATAGAGTACAAGTGTGTGCATAAACCCACTGCACTCTCTATTCCCTCACTCTCAAAGGCCGATAAGACGGCAATCTGACACTACCGGAGAAAGAAATCGGGCGCAAGAATGACAATAATTAAAATTATAATTTAAAAAAATAAATGAAACTATATTTTACGGATTTTTTCGCGTTTAATTTAACTTTTTAAGATATCGGGACGTCAAAAACCTCAGTCCCCCTCCCTCCTCCTCCCTTGACCACGGGTGCTGTAAAGCACCCGAAACGTCGGGAATTAAACAGTTAAATTAAACGCGAAAAAATCCGTAAAAATTAGTTTCATTTAATGTGTAGTATTCGCGTAAATATAAGAAGTCATTATTAAAAAATTAAATTATTATTAATGTTATAAAATTTCAGGGTGTGTATTTCCTAACAGAAAATCCCGAGATTTACCCAGATTTTAGACCTGACCTGGAATTTGAACCCTGGACCACATGATTAGTATTCACGCTTACGCCCACCAACCCAAAGAAGCAATTAATAATTGCTCTGGATCTTTGATTTGTCCACACTGGGTGCTTCATGTTGTGGGTTTGTTGTTTGAGCCACAGTATCTACTTACCTTCAGGTCGACTGAGTACTCGTTTGTCACTTTTTCAATAAATATAAGTTCGTTACACCTATATTATAAATAATCTGAAATTTGTCATCTAACATGGAGATTTTCTTAAAATTTCAAATCTTTTTGAGTTCTTCATCACAATTTTTTATTTAATATATGGATGACAAACATACACACAGTCCACCTGGCTGCTGTGGTCAATAGACCTTTACATTTATCCTCAATTAATAATCAAAATGCAAATGCGTTGTCACCTCTGAGTACTGAGGTGGAATGCCTTATTTCCAGTAAAAGGGTCACCGGTTCTCTACAATACCATACAAAACATAGCAGCATTAAGCTGCCATTTTACGCTGGTATTCTGTGAGAGCGTTGCCTTCCCCAGTCGAGCCGACCGATTCGTGCTACAACCATAATATAGCTGCAGCATGACTCTATCACGTATAAAATATGCTCAAAACCGAAATGGTTGTCAGCAATCTTAGTCCGCGTATTATTAATGTCGTTTATTCGGATTACAAAGTTAAAGCTCTTGAAAACATCACGAAGATGATTAATTGGTGTGATCGGGGCTAGTTTTCATACTAATATTACAGATCACTTATCTCATCAGATTATCTTCGGAATTTATCGCGTTTAGTTTAACTTATTTTACATATTTTTAATTTCCGACGTTTCGTGTGCTTTACAGTATCCATGATTAACTCAATTTATTTGTCTTTAAATAAAAGGCATGTTAGTCGATTTAGAAGGCTGCGCCAGTAAATTATATTCTGTTAAATGTATTAAATAAGATGTTTTTACAGTGTTATTGACAATATAACTTATGCAAATTATGTTATTCTGTTCCAGTCTACAATGTTACTCGTCAAAGTACTAATTCGTATAGTACCTAATATTGTGAACTGATGATCTTAAAATATTTATTGAATCAGAAAATTATTATTTCAATCCCAACGCTACAGGACACTCAACAATTTTTTATAACATTTTACTCGATGTTATTGAAATTAAATGTAATTACAGAAATTTCATAGAGATGATAGCTTAATTACATTGGCGCTCATGTCGCTGTATAAAAGCTTGAGGAGAAAAGACGTGGTATCACACTCATCTTGAAGCTTGCAGTGGTCCCATCAAAGACTCAGAACAATCTAAAGGTAAAATAAATATTAAACTCGCTTTTCATGATACAATTATATTTTAATTGTATCGGTTATGTAATTTTTACGTTACTTGGTTTACGTATTAAAATAGAGTGTAATAAACTTTCAGAATCAATATGCGTGTAGTCTTCGCCTTGTGTTTCATCATTGTCATCATTTGCCTGATCACTCCAAATGAAGCTAACTATAGAAAACCACCGTTCAATGGGTCCATTTTTGGAAAACGAGGAAATATTGGTAATGTATTCAATTATAATATTTATTTTGAGGTAAAACAGCGAACTTAATGATGATCGCACAAAACTGATTCATGCAGTAGTGTAGTAAAGGGGTGTGCTAGGGGTATGGGGCCATGGCCCCGGGCGACACATTATAGAGGGCAACATTTTGGACAAGAGGAGTCATTTCCTATGTAACTTATATAAGATGCCAGTAAAAATCTTAAATAATAATTATTACTAAATACCTATGTACGTGGTAGAGCCATGCTGCAGCTATATTAGTAGTATAGTTGTAGCACGAATGGGTTGGCTCAACCGGGGAAGGACCACCCTCTCAGAGAATAGCAGCGTAAAATAGCAGCTTAACGCTTACCAATTTACCGATTAATTTTAAGATAAATACAAAAATTTGTAGAGGAGCGGCTTTTTTAGCTCTAGCGTAGCGTAGTTGATGTATTTTTTGTATGATATAATATTTTATCAATTTATGCCGCAATATCTCGAAAATTCTCCATTGTCTTATGAAAGTAATTGATTCTATTTCAAGTGGTCACACTACACTAGACGGTAGGGCTTCTTTATCTGCCTAAAGGTCCGTCTGGGATACCTATTTTGCCAACAAGTAGCGGAACATCCACTGTTGTACCTGGTTCGGTTTTAATGTTATGGGGATTAAAATAAGTGCTATTTGGTAGGACTGCTTTTCTGCCCATAATTACTCTCTTAATTAACTAAGTCCCGTATTAATAAACGTTACTCAGCTCAAGTACACGCACTTGAGTACAATCTTGAGGTTATGATCTTATTAATAAACATATCTCAAGATGCGGTTTAAGACTACGATATCAGCTGAGTGCCACACTGATTAATAAACGAAACCCGACTCTCAAGTGTGTGTACTTGAGTGCAAGTCACAGAACAGTATTCCTAAGTAGAACGTTTTGAGATACTGTTTTTATGTGTTTATTAATTAGTAACGATCTTGAGATGCTAATATCGTAATGAGGGCGTATCAAATGATTACGCACTTGAGTTCGTCGTTGAGTAACGTTTACTAATACGGGTCTAACTCTTCTTCTTCTTTCGTAATTAACTCTTACCTATTTCTGCCGCTAAATAGTAGTGCTTGCACTGCTGTTTTATAGTCTTAAGGTTATAGAGAAACAGTATATCTTCAAGTGTTGAGGCATTCCGTCGTAGTCCTCAGAGGTGACAAAACATATGTAGCTTTCTTTGTTAGAAGTTAGTTACAGGTGTCCATGGACTGTAGTCGGCACGTATCTTCAGATGGACTGTGAGTTTGTTTATCACTTAATTTCTTTGAGGAATGTATAATTTTACAGTCTCTGATGTATTTCATATAATTATTTTATATTTCGCACAAGGTTAGCTGGCAGAGAATGCCTTTTTGACATTAAGTTCGCCTTTGTACCAATTTTTCTATGTAAACAAACACATCAAATTCGTTATTAAATGTACTAGTATTTTGTCTCAACAAAAGTATTTGCTTTCTTTCAGAATATGACACGACTGGAAAAGCTATGTCGGCGTTGTGCGAGATCGCATCCGACACTTGTCAAGCGTGGTTCCAGGCTTTAGAAAATAAAAAATAAATTATTATTTCACAGTTCCCTAAATATCTTTTTATGACACGAAAATTAAATGTTATGACTGTAACAATTTTTGTATATCAAACATGTAAGATAGTCATAAGAAAAATAAATAATTAATATGCATACATGTACATATTTACTCTTTTTTTTTCCTTTTGTACAAAAAGTAAGCGATAAACAATCCATGGAAGGCGTCATAAGAGAACCACGAATGTAATTTACTGCTTCAAAATTAAAATAAAAACTCAAAGGACCAAATGTATAATCCAAGCTACGCGCGGGACAAGATTCTTTTTTATAGAATCGAGGTGACAAACGAGCACGCAGACACACCTGATGGTAACTGAATGCTGTGGCCCATCTACATTTATCCTCGATTAATTGCGGATGGAAAATCATCAAATGACGCCTTTCGCTCTGGGTGGAGCGGAAGGGAGTGTCAGACTTTTACTGACTAAAAACCATCCGTGTTCCTTCAGTGCCCTTACGTTCCGGAGCCGCGGTATCTCTTTCGAACAGCCCGCAGCCCCGGCAGGCGTCGGCCCTTGCGGGCCCCTTCACGCTGCTGACAGCTCTTTGAGGCGCGCGTGGAACAAAACGCGCCGTCGACACGGCCTGTCGTCGTTAGACGGACGGACGGCGAGCTACCCATTGCTCGCCGTCCACAGGCCCGCGCCTACGGTGGCCGGGGGCCACGACGTAGCCCCCGACGCCCGGGGCGTCTCCCGCGGCGGCCGGGAAGGAAAGCTGCTGCTCTCTCCTTCTCCCGCTCCGCCACCTCCTTCGCTAGCATCACTGCTTCGCAGAAGGTGGTGACGGCATCCCATTTCGTCTCGCTCCGGACCATGGCTTCGACCAGGGCTGGACGCGAGAGGTCGCCGCCGCCTATCGCCGCTACGAGGACACGGCGGTGCTCCGCCCAGGCAGGGCACACCTCCACGGTGTGCTCCACCGTGTCCTCCGGATGCGTTGTCACCCCTAAAGTGTAAGATGGAATGCCTCGTTTCCAGTAAGAAGGGTCTTCGTTCTCGGTTCTTTACACTCACCATACGAAACACAGCAGCATTATGCTACTATTTTACGCTGTTATTCTGTGAAAGTTTGGTCCTTCCCCGTTCGAGCCGAACCTTTCGTACTACAAGTATAATATAGTTGCAGCGTGGCTCTACCACGTAAAAGACCGCGAATTTAATATACGGTTCAAACTTTTAATAAATGCTCGAAGGACGAAATGTAGAGTCAACGTGACTCTACATTTCGTCCTAAAGCTAGCTTAAAAGTTATTAGTAGGGTAACTGTGTTGGGTGTTTATTAAATTTGGGTATCTTTTTGAAATGTCGCTATGTATTATTGTCGTTTCCTGTAATAGCTAGCTGCCTATAAAGAAATAGTAGAGTGAGCTATAACCTAAGCATCCTTACTCCTCACACAACCCTAGTTCCCTATCACCCTAAAAGTCGTAGCCCTAGTCATAAAGTGAATATGTATACTTACTAATGATCCGCCCCGGATTCGCACGGGTCATTTATAGATCTCGACTACCGGGTCCAATTGTGAATCTAAACCATCCAGGGACATTCACACACACATAAAATTTCATCAAAATCGATGAAACCGTTTTTTGAGTTTCAGCGAGACTAACGGACCGCAATTTATTTTTATACAGGGTTATTTTTCAAAGAGTAGCCAAATTTTAAATTATGTTCAAATATATAAAATATGATACTCCGTTATTGCAGTTTTTGAAAATACGAGTAATTAAGGCTTCTACTTTTATTTGAAACCATCCCAAATTGAATGTGATTTCTGGGCAGCAATGTTTTTGACTACCGATCGACCCTTATGAATGTTTGCGTGCGCAGTAAAATCATTTAAAATAATGTATTACCACGCATTTTGAATTATAAAGATAAAAACGACAGAATGTTTCAGTTTTTTTTAAATAAAATTTTCTACACCATTTCCCCATACCTACTACTTATTCTGAACCTTCTCTGCAAATTATTGCAAAATAACCCTGTAAATACAGGGAGATGATGAGATATAAATAGGCGTGGGATGTCTGTACCATTTGACTTTAGGCAACGGGCGGAAAGTGGAAATGGATATAGAGGTCAGATATTCTCACTGCAAAATCTCGTAGATTCACGTGACCGTGATTAGGACTAGGGGTTTCTTTTTCACAGTAAGTGGAATGATGGCCGATGTCGACAAACAGCAGTCTTCAATGACACAACGTCGATGTTCGAATCTAAAGAGAAGTATCATAGTAGTATATTCACAAATTTTCTAACTATATTTAGAATGACTTACTAGAACAGTGTTAAATAAAAACATAACAAATATTAGTAAGTACATACTAATTAATCAATACGCTGCATTATTAAGTCTAACGTTTTTTGGGTGCGGTCACACATATTAGTTTTCCCACATACAAACAAAATGTTTAGGTTAGGTGAAACGATACTTTTTTGCGAAAGGTCCAGAAGAACTTTTTAAAACATAAAATATGTAATTGCTACCTGCATTACTTTAATATATACGTTAATATAATTTTTATAATTACAATTAGTACAAACAAAAAAAAAATATGGCTTATAAATTACATTCAGCATGCCATTAATTTTTATTTCTCAATACCATATTGGTCTCGAACTTCTAGATCCCATGTTTTTGTAGAACTTATAATATAAAATAAAAAATTTAGTACAACCAACTTCAATATAAATTATTACGAATAACTCAAAAACTATTCGTCAGACCTTGGTCAAATTTATATGGGACCACATGTGAAGCACCAGCTTCCAAATAGTGTTGCCCAAAATCGGTCTTAGTCTTGCAGTCTTGGTCTTGTTCTTGCATTTTTGCAAGACCAAGACCAAGAACAAGACCGCCTCTTTTTAGCAAGACCAAGACCAAGACTGACCGTGCAAGATTTGCGCAAGAACAAGACTAAGCTTGCGAGACTCTTGCGTCTTGCAGTTAGGATTAAGTGTCGTTTCAGGGAGTATAGGAGTTCGGGTATACGCTTAGGGACTCTATGAGATGCAATAAAACATAACGAAAAAAAAATTGGAAAATTGAACTCATGCGCATTACGAACAATACCATAAACATACATAGCGAATGAAAATATCCATTAAAAGAAAAAAGAGTGCATCCCTAGTTTTGACCATCGGCACTTTGATAGTGTGCGGCGTCTTGTGGTAAACTTGTGGTACGTAAACTTTAAACTTGAAATCTGAAATTTGAAATTTTAAACTTTAAATTTTATACTTTAATCTTTAAACTTAAAATTAAAAATTCATTTTTTTTTAAAAAGTAAAGGTTACGTTCTGACGTCCGTTTCGTATTAGTAAAAATCATTTAGTTAACCCGGTATTCGAAACTGTTAATTCAGTGGAGAATTTCGTTAATTCATCGCGTCGCGTTAATCAAAAAATAGACTCAGGTTTTTAATAATTTAAATTCCTCTTTGCGTGCTAGGCGATTATAGACCGAATCTCGCTCCACCTAGAGTAGGTTTAGGCCGGCTGCCGTCGAGTCAGGCGACCGTTAGGCTAGCCCTTCGGGGCCTTGTAGATGTAATTGACACCCAAAGAGGTGGCCTTAGAAGCCATCTCTCACATCACCTCTCACATCACCTCTCATATGAACGATTTGAAAAATTCAAGAAAATCAAAAACATGCGACTAAGCTGATTGCTTCGCCACTTTGCTATGCTGTTAGCTTGATAGGTTTATTGTTATTATTATTACCTAAAAGATAAACATGTTCAGTAAGTTCACTGCAAATCTCGACCTTTGCAAGTATGTGTTTTTAAAACACAAAGTGCTCGAATATGTCGTCACACATTTGATAAATATGGTTGACACCATAGCACTTTTAAAACACTTGAAATGTGTAAAAATGGATCTGGATTGTCTTCAAGGCTTAGTTATTAAGGAGTTGGAGGGGTACCTAGGTAAACCCAAAGCCGTCATCTCGGAAGACATTTTAGACTGTTGGAGGACGCATGAGACAAAATATCCGATTTTATCGAAGATGGCCCATGATTTTCTTTTAATACCTGCAACTTCAGTACCTGCTGAGAGATTATTTTCTAAAGAATCATTAGTAATTAGAAAACATAGAAATAGGTTAAGTGAATAAATGTAAATAAAAAAAACTGAGGAATATAAAGGATGTTGCCCAAGAATAGGTAGGCAGGGTAAGGCAACAAAAATAGGACTAGATTCCTTGTTTCCCTGTTCACACAAATAGAATTTCTAGGAATAGTGGGACACGAAGAGGCAAAATAATAGGAACGGGCTCACTTTTAGTTGGCAAAAACCGCTGCTGTGGCGCGTAGACTCCGCTGGACCTCAGCTTGGCCGGTTCTCAATAGCTGTCCTCTTGTCTTCTCTCCGCTCCAGATGAATTCTTTTTGACCGCTTTGTTGTTCTTAGGACTCGGGATGGTACGCCAATTTAATAATCTTCTTAGCTGATGTAGTAGATCGGCGTGGCTTCCTTTGTTCTCGTAGCTCGTAGTACTTGCGTTCGCGACGTTGTAAACGCGGGGTAAGTGCTACGACCTTTGGACCGTATTACGCGGCGAAATCGTAATTCGATATTTTAATTTATCACGGTCGCCACTATGTTCAATTAGGGAACATGAATAAAATAGGCGACTCACACGATAGGCAAATTGTATATTTAAAAGGAATGAAAAATACAAAATATACACAAATTTCATTATTTAAATTCCTATCTAGAAGGTGAAGCTGCTCGTGTAATATGTAATTTAGAAGTTTGCGACAATAATTATCCTGAGGCATGGAGTCTTCTTTGTGAGCGTTTTAATAATATTCGTCAATTAATAAATAATCATTTGAAGTCTTTGTTTAATATTGAGCCGTTGCGTGAGTCTGACAAGTCATTATGATTTCTAGTAGACCACGTCACAAAAAACCTACGTGCTTTAAATACTTTAAAACAGCCAACTGATCATTGGGATAC